TTTTTTTCTTCTTTTTTTTTTTTGAGACAGAGTTTCGCTCTGTCATTCAGGCTGGAGTGCAGTGCCACCATCTCAGCTCACTGCAACTTCTGCTTACCAGGTTCAGATGATTCTCCTGCCTCAGCCTCCTGAGTAGCTGGAACTACAGGTGTGCACCACCACACACAGCTAATTTTAGGTTTGGTTTTTTTTTGTTTTTTTGAAACAGAGTTTCACTCTTATTGCCCAGGCTGGAGTGCACGGGCGTGATCTCGGCTCACGGCAACCTTGCCTCCTAGGTTCAAGCAATTCTCCTGCCTCAGCCTCCCGAAGTAGCTGGGATTACAGCCATGCGCCACCATGCCCAGCTAATTTTGTATTTTTAGTAGAGAGGGGGTTTCTCCGTGTTGGTCAGGCTAGTCTTGAACTCCCGACCTCAGGTGATCCACCCGCCTTGGCCTCCCAAAGTGCTGGGATTACAGGTGTGAGCCACCGTGCTCAGCCATTTTTGTATTTTTAGTAGAGACGGGGTTTCACCATATTGGCCAGGATGGTCTCGATCTCTTGACCTCAGGATCCACCTGCTTGAGTCTCCCAAAGTGCTGGGATTACAGGCGTAAGCCACTGCGCCTGGCCTAATTTTTGTATTTTTAATAGAGACGGGGTTTCACCATGTCGGCCAGGATGGTCTCAATCTCCTGACCTCGTGATCTGCCCTCCTCGGCCTCCCGAAGTGCTGGGATTACAGGCCTGAGCCACCGCGCCCCGCCCTGGTGTTTCTTAACCTAGGCAATAAGCCTGCCTGGGAGGGAGGAGGGGGAAGGACAGGGTGGATGGGAAGAGAGGACTCAGTCAAACTACTGAAACACTTCAGCTGACAAGGGTCCTCCCCTTGTGACTCTGGCCCTCCCAGGAGGGACAGTCGTGGGAAGAGCTTCAGATTCGGAGGCAGAAGTCCCGGGGCCTGGGTTGAGCTCTGCTGCTTCTTCCCTGGGGAGTCTTTGGCTCAGCACCTCTGTGAACCTCAGTTTTTGCACCTAGAAAAGGGGGCGGATCACTACATCTTCCTCATTGTGTTGCTGAGCTGATGTCAACTTTTATTCTTTACAACCAAGACACCAAGGCTTAAGTGCTTCTAAACTGGGCCTGAGGGAGTCGGGAAAGGCTTCTTAGAGGGGTATTTTGTGCTGGGACTGGAAGGCTGGAGGAAGACAGAAGACAGGAAGCAGGAGGTGGTTATGTCTTGTTCCCACACCTATCCTGGGCCTGAAGAGAGCTTTAGTGACTCCTCCAAAGATTGAGGTCCCTTGGTCTCCATTTTTCTGAACTCCTCTTATTACTTTTTCTGCAGTCTCTGGGTGAGGACTTCATGTTGCCATAGTGACCCTCTCCCTGCTTCAGGTGCACTCAGACTTGTCCTGCAGGCTGAGGAAGGTGTGGGGGAAGGGGTCATGTCCCTGAGATGCCCAGTGGGGCAGGCACTCTTGGCACAGCTCTCTCCCCCGACTCCACATTCTCTTCCCCAGGAAAGGGTTTAGCATTTTGTTCTCAGTTTGTTCTACACAAGGCAGCTCCTCTCCTGCTTCCTTCCTTCCAGCCGGGTTCTCAGATCTCCCTCCAGCTCTGTCTGGTCAGTCCCTTACTTGCTGCCCTCAAGGCTGTGAGTGAGGGTCAGAGAGTGGGGAGGCTCCAGGTCAGGAGGTGTGGGATGATTCCTGAGTAGCTACCCCCTAGCAGCCGAGAGACAAGAAAGCCATGTACACTAGTGCCCCTCCCCACAAGAAAATGCCTCTGCTGTTGACTCCTAAATAACAGATGTCTGTCTGCATATTAATGAGATTGGACGAATAATTGGTGAGTTTTTCATTCAGTGTCAGAATGAACCGGGAGGCCTTATGTTCATGCACACAGACACCCACTCACCCCTGACTCTCCCCTTCCCCCACAGCACAATGAAACAGACACAGACGCCGGCAGGCTTGACCCACGAGGGGAGGGGCAGACGGGGAACCACCGGGAGGGGTGTTAGGGAGGGGTGTTAGCAGGAGGGAGACCCCCATGGTTGGTCTGGGTTGGTCAGGTTTCTCTCTTGATCACTGCCTCCCCATCTCCCCGGGGGCAAAAGCTTGCATTTGTGAGATTTCGCCACCCTGCAGAAGGGGCTCAGAGGAGGAGGGGGCTCTGGGGAGAGGCAGTTACTGCCTAGAGGACAGCAACAAAACAGTGGTCTCCTTCAGCGACTTTGTGCCTCACTTGAGTCTGGAATCAATGAGCCCCTTACCCTGCGTTAGACCCTGTGCCAGGGTGTGAGATGGAAGAACAGAGGTTTTGGAGTCAGGTAACTACAATTTGCTAGCTGGGTGCCCTTGCACAAGTTACTTAACCTCTCTGAGCCTCACCCTTTTTGTCTCTAAGAACACCTACCTTGCAAGATTGAAAGGATGAAATGAGATAAAGTGTGTTATGTGTCTGTCTTAGTGCCTGG